ATATCACTTAACATAGTAATATATAGCATATTATAATTCCTATGTTAGTTTGATTACTTGCTTCATTATTGAATTATGAATTCTTGTTTTGCTATATCTTAAGCACCAGAAGATGATGATATATGAAGCCAAGTTGCGTCAAAACTGAAGAATCGAATTTTTCTAACCTTTTCCTCCATAAAAAAAACAAAAGACCAACAAAAAATTAGCGGAAATATGAATATTTTTGATTACATCTACAAATTTCAGAAATTGTATTATTAATATTTTAGAATTCTTTAGGCCTAAGTAAATATATAATGCTTCATCTCTTTTTCTATACTAAGCTAATGGATCTTCTCTTATTCTTTTGTCGTTTCCTTCGTTTCAACTATTCTTCTTCACTGTTTTAGCTTCTTCCTATTCATGTTCTATTTTTAATTTCAAAAGAATGGTACAGACAAATATGTTACAGATCTATTTGACATGTGGTGTTTGGAGATGCTTTGAAAATAAGGACTGCAAGTTTATCCTTGATGAAAAAAACGTGCTAGATTAATTACCTTGCAATCTACAACAACTCTTGAAGACCTATGGTAAGAACATCAATCTCAGATTCACAAGCCTTCAACCCTTTATGCAATCTCATTGAAGCTCCATCAATTATGTCCACTTTGTCAGTCAAGTCTTTTAGCTCTTCCACCATAGACATATCAGTCCATTTAAATGCATGAGTCCAATCCTGTGACATTTTCAGACCTTTATTTGTGGACACAACCAAATTATACCAGACAATTGAGATTCACACTTACCCCTTCTTTTCGAAATGGACATACATGAAACAATCTTCCCCGATTTTTAGAAGTACCCGACGTCTGCAATACAACAGATTCTCCACATCGGCATCTCGTAAGAAAGCCTCTTCTTTGTTTTTCCATTCTCTTTCTTCGAGTACTGTAATTGACACACAAGATGAAATCGAAGAAGATGAAATAAAGAGGAAGAAGATGAAATCGAAGAAGATGAAATCGAAAACCTAAATTGTGAATTTTCCCCCAAATTGAAAAGACGTCGTTTTGATAAAATAAAGAAAAGACGTCGTTTTGAGCCTTCGAAACCGAAGGAATGGCCACATCGGATCTTATGTGGCTAGTGATTAGGGGGATGGTTAAGCTATATTTAATTGTTGAGTCAATGTAGGATTATGCTAACGACTCAAAGTTTAGGTAGTTAATTTGAATTATTTGAGGGTTCAGGTTGAAAAACACACGATTCGTTTGTCTGGGTAGGATTTTAAACTTTTGAAATAGTACGGGTTGAAATTTACCCTTTTCCCAGACTTGAATCCTATCTTACCCCATTGAAAACTCTCAAAAGAAGCATTATTCAACACCTTCTTTGCATATTCATAGGGAATCCTACTATTCATTGCTATTCCTATTACTCCAACATGAACAATAAATAATCTTGCAATCATTTTCCTCAACTTACCACTCCATGTTCTCAACCCTGGTGCTAGCTCATTTAGTTTGGTCCAAGACATGAATGCAGTTCTAGTGCAGCCCATAAATCACTCTGCTCCTCCACACTCTGTTCCTCCACACACTCAGCATCGAGATCAATTTCATCATAGTTCATCCATGTTATCTCTGCATATTCATTTAATGAGAACCTCAACGAATTTCCCTCAAGCAAGCACCATACCTCAGTTTTCAGGCCTATTGCCAATTGATTAGTGATAAGATAGTGAACACTTTTCGAACACCAAACGTAGTCACTATCAGCAAGCTTCAGATACAATCCAACTTGAGAATTATTGGCTATTTCAACATAAACCTCATGACCAACATAATCCTTCATCATCCCGAAATCTAACAAATTACACTTGTGATTCATGCTTCTTTTTTTTGTGTAGGTGACTTCCCTTCCAGATATAATCTCCTTGGATACCTCCTCTGTTTCACCTCCATCCCTCTGCAAATTAAATTCAAACAAAAAATTCACATTTTCTCTTCAAATAATTCCAGACACTCTCCCAACACCAAAACTTTATTTGCTTTGTCACAATTACATAGAGATTGAAAGACGACACACAATGATACAATAAGAGAGACAACATCAAACTATGGAATAGAAAACTATGCTTTGATTCTAGACTGTCCAAACACTTCAATAAACCAACGAACAAATTCATTTACCATAAAAACAATACTCGTTAATAGAAGAAAATTAACCTCTGCAACTAGACGTACAACAGAGAAGATTATATAAAGGGATAGACGAACCTCCGCCGCCGCAACTTATTGTTCAACCTCTGACTCCTTTGCAACCAACCCACGTCCTTATGCCGGTGGTCACTAAGCCGGCGGTGAGCTTCTTCAATCGACTAAGCCAAATCGTAATCCTTCGATTGTTTTCTCTACTGATTGTGTTCTCCCAATTGAAAATCAAACACATTTACGCTCAGCTTTCAAAAACCTTAACGCTCAGCTCAACTTTCAAAGACAAATTTTTTTTTTTTCAACGGCACAATCGTAGATGAAAGGTGTACCCATGGTTTATAAGTAAACACCTCACTATTCTATGTTGTTTTAGTAAGCGAAAATTCACTTACGTTATTAGAGTAATTACGCAACTTTTCTAAGTTATTCTAGGTAATTACCCAAAAAATAATAATATGATGAAGTTAGTGGTAATGAAACATTGTTATCCGTAGAAGAAACATTTCGAATTCAATACCAATTATATAGAAAGATGGTTTTTCTGATGTGAGTTTAGAGCACCTTCAATGGAGGTGTTTAGTGAGATGCTAAAAGATTGCTTACCATTAAATAAATGTATTTAATGTAAACTAACCAAATTAATATTTAATTTGAGACTTTAAGTATCAGCTAAGCACCGCCTATGTGTCACTTTGTTAGTGGGTGAAGAGAAAAAAAAAAATATATATATATATATATATTTTTT